AAAACCTAGGTTTTGGTTTGGTTGACATGAACTCTGATGCTGTTTGAATGCGTAACGACACATCCACAGAAGTGGTCAGAATGGGGATCGAACTGGCAACCCACCAATAGTGGGACGAACTCCTAACACCGTTGCCACCATTGTACTTTAACTCATGTTCATGTTTTTCTATTATCTCCTTCTTCAATTCAATAGGCATCTGTTTCTTTGTGTAGACAAACAAGACGTGGTCTCAGCTGAAGCTGCGCTTTGCCCCAACAAGCAGTGTCGTCCCGAAGCATGATTCTGAACTCAGATTTCACTAAATATATGGACCAAGTGATGGCTTGTATTTAAAAAACTGATGTTAATTTGCTTTTATGTCAAGGTTCAACTGTACAGTCCTTTACCACCACCACTCAATAAGGAATGTTTGCGCACAAATGTAATCTTAACATTTGAAATTTGATCAACATTTCTGACACAACTCCATATTTGTTCATTTTGTGAATATTTTGTGGACAAACTCCTGAATATAAAACAGAGGTTTGTTGCTGTATTACATGCAGAAGTGTGCTCCAACAGCAATGTTTGTATTTCGCTCCAACTACCTCCAGGAGAAATGATTAGTTTTGAGAAATGTTTATATGGATGAAGAGAGGAATTTTGTAGATTTGATTGATTATTAACTAATCCATTATGACTGGGCTTGGTGCTGAGTTCGGCAGGCGTCTCTGTGAATCTAAAATGATGCAATGTTCGTCACGTGTTGATGTCAACAAAAGCCACTTTCGGCACTTCGACCTTTAACAGGTTGCTCAAAGGCCTTGGTTTGTTCGATGCAGGGCAATGTGAAAGTGAACAAGTAGAAAATGTAAAAAAATGTTGCAACTTTGGTCTTCAATCAAACCCAGTCTAGTGGACAGATGATGCAAAACCTCAGATCTGCTTCACCCCTTCTCTGTTTTATCTGAGTTGAATGTGAAACTCCAGCGAAACAGAAAACCTGGGATTGACATCACTTCACCACTTTGCCATGTCCTTGGCATCTCCTGTGGCCAAGGAGATGGCAGTCTGGAAAGAGGCTGATGATGACCAGTTCATTAGCTCCAGCATTGAGTCTTCTGATCTGTGCCAGTCACTCTAGAAAACCCAGAGGGATGAATATTGGTCTTGTTTAATGTTCTTTTTTTTTCCACACAATAATCATTTTCTCATCCATCTGTCTCTGTCCTCCTCACACACATATGCATACACACACGCACACACATAAATGCACACCCATCCATCTACCTGTCAAGAATCAAGGATGTTCCCTCCATTTGCTAGACAAGGAGCACCAAGTCACCTCAGAGCACCGTGTGTGTGTGGTTACATGCCTTAATAGCAGCAGCAGCAACACAAAACCCTCAACCTTTTTTAATTCAACCTGTCTGGACGCTGTGTGACAGAAAAAGCTCATTTTCTCTGCTGGAATTCTTTACCCAGCAACCACGCAACTCTGGCATTCTTCCACCAACCAGACGATTATATTAGATTATCTCTTCATGCGTGTGACAATAACACATTTACAATCAATGAGAGCTGGGCGTTCTGCCCTAAATTAGCCATGACTTGCTTTTCAAAAAGGTCATAAATAGCTGTGAATGTTTCATAAACCAGCAGCAGCTGAACAACAAAGGGCGGCTGCTGTTCTGCTGTGCTTGTGACGCAAACAACAGTGTGGTTTTAGGAGACTACATTAACAAACCGACATGTCGGCAAAATGGCTTCTTTAGCAAAACTGCACGTCAGTGTCGTCCATTTAACTTGTCATCGCACATAAAGCGACTGTTTGTAGCGTGGCTGCAGACTGTTCTATTGTCTACGGTCGTGCTCGCATGCGGTCGCATCTGGCAAATATTAAGCGACAGATGAAGCGTTCCCCTTTGCCTTTGCTTACACACCCTGACTATTCAGAGCTGTCACTGAAATAACTGTCACATTAATACAAACAGTGACAGCACGCGTCCCCAGCAGCTTCCCAAAACCATGACAGAACTGTGAAACTGAAGAGTATTTTAGTAATTTCCATGAGGCCCACGTTGTCATTTTACTGAACAATGTAAGTCAGACACGTGGTGTTTAGAGAGTAGTTAGATTTGCTGCAGGGAACGTGAGCAAAGTGGAGACTCTTCAGATGCAAGTCTTCTTACAGTTTTGAAATGAAGACAGAGTCTTCACTGTAATACCAGAGGATACCGTGTTAATTTTGGCAAAGATAGCCTATTGATATTCCATCTGGCTCCATGAAATGCAAGGCATTTTAAAAGGGCAGTGTTAGTAAAATAGGCAGTTATTAGCTTTACATCATGTTTTAGTGTCATCCTCTCATCAAAAACATACCTGGAATGTTCCCTTGATGCTTTCATGCATATTTAATAAATCCTCTAATCTTCCGTGGCGCCCATCTTTTCCATAACACTCCTCCTCAGTGCTTCTGCCTTACGGAGCAGGTTTATCCCACTCAGTTCCTTCAGACTAGCTAGCAGCATTTAATAAACACCTAGTGGAACTGCACCTCTGCTGAGCTCATTATAGGAGCTGCGTCTCAGTGAAATGCTGGTAAAAACATTGTTAAAGGGTTAATAGAGGAGCCATGTTGTGATGGCATCTTGAAGGCGGAGTTTGAGAAATAGCAGGAGCTTCTTAAAAAGACAGAGGTCCAATTTCAATACGTTAAGTTGCAAAGTCAAATTTCTTTAATGTCATGTTTGATATATACAGCGTTCTTAAAACAACTTAAGCCAACATAGTTACGTGACTTTAAAATAAAATGGGTCTGTGTGCCTAGAAAATACATAATTCTGCCTCTTTAGGAGTTTTACCTTTGTTCTAAAGAGAGCAAGAAAAGAAAAGAAAAAAAACTATTACAACCACCCATCAGGATTTTAATCCTTTAATAATATCATTATCAATCTGCCAACACTAAAAGGTTAAATTAATCAACTCCAGTAGAATGGATTTTGTTCCTGCCCTTTTCTGTAGAATAATCTTAATATATATCAAAGAAGTCAATCTGCCCAGCCACCCAAATAAATTCAATTCAGTTCAAAAATACTTTATGATGACAAGAACAGAAGATCATAACAGACCAGGGAAGCTAATAAAAATACAAAGCAAGGCTAATAATGTTGGTGTTTTGTGGAAAATTCACTGCAACTTCTGTAGAGAAGTCTGTTTGGAAGACAAACTTTTTCAGAATTATAATTTCAACCTGTCTTTACATCCAGATTTGCCGCGTCCGGCTTTTTTTGGTGCAGAATTATGAAACATGTCTTATGTCACTGACCTAAAAGTCATTGATATGACTGTCAGATTGTATATGCTTTTCAAACTATCCAACTTAGTTCCACATATGGACCCCACAAAATCTGATGTTTTGTGGGGTCAAAAGCTTGGGATCGGGCGGCTCAGACCGCCGTGAAAAAGTCCGATTTGGTCTCATTTGCCTGCTGTGTGAATGTAGCATGAGTCGTCCTGTGATTGGTCCAAGGTGTAGGCAACAGATGGATGTTTTATCAAACATGATTTTAAAGGTTGGATAAAAAGAGCAGGGAAGTGAAAATATCATAAATATCAGGCAGATTTTTGGTGTATGGCAGGCAGTAAATAATTCTGATCATTTTTAATGGTGGCCACCACAGCAGTTGTGTTTCTGTTTTTGAATAGCTTTTTGAACAGCATTTTCTGTGACTTTTGTACTGCTGACCCCCATAAAGAAATTACAAACTGCAAAGACATGATTTATTAGGTTAATTGAGCTAAAAAGTGGGATAAACTTTTAGCCTATTTCCCTAAATTTGAACAGATTTCCATTTGAATATGTTGTGTGTGGTTGTTTTAAAACATATCTTTAACTATTATAAAATAATAATTAGTTACTTTTCACATAGAAAGAAAACAGTCAACATGAATGCTGTGCAGTCAAAAGTTTCAGCGTGGAGAGTGATTCAAAGTTTGACCTCCAGGACTCTGGGAGCTTCCCTCTCTCTCTGCCAACACAAGTTTAGCCGCTGCAGTCCAGGCATGAATATTAACCCCATGGAAAATACACTGCAGCAGAAGAGCAGCATAACTGATGGAGGTTTTTTCAATTTTCATGACTCTCCCAAGCATTTGAGATAATAGTGTTCAAAATTAAAAACACATTTAACATTACATTAGTTAAAAAATAAAAAAAACAACAACAAAAAAACAACTCAAGCTGGGTTCCTATTGGTGAAAATAAACTCGAGCTTAATCAAAAGGTCAGCTGTGTGGAACGTTGTTTTATCTTCAGCTCCTCTGGTCATGGATTCCACTGACGGCTTGACCAGGACTCCTCAGTGGACAGAGGCTCACATCTGGCAGCTTCTTGTTTATGACAGCAGTTAACACTGGATCAGGGAGGCTCTGGAAGAAAACACATGGAGAGGTTTTAAAGCAAACAGGGAACACACACCTTAATCTGGATGACTAACAAGTTCGCTGTGAGACTGACTTGGAGTTTTTACAATGTTCTAAAAGTAAGATGGCAAAAAATAAGTAAATAACCTTCTACTCCAAGCCTGAAGCCAGAACCACAAACCAGAAGATCTGGAACTCTTCTGGTTCCAGATCAAAGGTTAATCACATTGCTGTACCAACCGTCTAGACCCCTCAGCTCTTCTGGTTCTGGTTCTGCTCTGCATCCCCAGAACCAGAACCAAACGAGGAGAAGCAGCATTCAGTTTCTATGCACCACAAATTTGGAACAAACTTCCAGAGAACTGTAAAACAGCGGAAACACTGAGTGCCTTTAAATCTCAATTTAAAACCCACCTGTTTAGAGTTGCTTATGGCTAAATTAGGGTTAGAGTGTGGGTTTTAATGTCTTTGATGTTTTTAATGTTTTTATCTTTACTTTTTATGTCTTCAATGTTTTTAATGGTTTTATTAATTTCTTTTCATTTCTCTTTCTCACTGTTTTGATTTTAATGTTTTATCTTAAAAGAAAAAAAAAATGCCCGACAGGTTAGAGTCCTTGTCAAATGGCGTTTTGACTAAAGTACAAAGGGTTGGAGTCCCAGTTGACGGTGTCTCAACTAAAGTTCTACAGCTTTTTATTTCTCTTTCTCACTGTTAATGTTTTAATTATGTTTTTTTTAAAATATCTTTCTCTTTCTCACATGCTGTTTTTATTTTAATGATGTAAAGCACTTTGAAATGCCTTGCTGCTGAAATGTGCTATACAAATAAAATTTGATTTGATTGATTGATCTTACTCTGGTCTACTCAAAGTCAGGACCTAAATCCAATTAAATCTGTAGCAAAATTTGAAAATTGATTTTCACATATCCTTTTTATTCAGCCTGAGTTTGAGCTGAATTGGCAAAAAGGTCATCTTTAGATGTGTAAAAGTGGTGATATACCCATGAGAGTTGCAGATGTAACACAGCAAAATGAGATTCTGCTGAGATTAAAACATGGTTTAAATATTTGTCATATGTTCATTAGTTCCAAATGTTAAAAGCATGGATGCAATATGAAAACTTGTGCCAATATCAATATCCAATATTAATTATGCTGTTATGGCTGATAAGCAATATTTACCAATATTCTATATATTTTCCTACACTTTAAACACCATGTAAAGCTACACTGCCTACATCACTTTCCTGCTTTAGTTAAACACCCCCATGATGCTGCACTGCATCACTATGTTTGTCACATGACTGAACAAATAACACACGGCTAACCTCACACTGAAACACACACACAAACGGCAACAAGATAAAACTAAACATTTGTCAATATAAGCCCAGTTTTAACTATTGGACCAATACCGATATGTAAAAAAATGACTAATATTGAATGATACCGATGTAGATACCTATCAGGTTTCCTTATGAAAACCATGTATTGTTTTCTTGCTTCTTTAAAATGTAGAAGAAAGTGATATTTGTCTTTCAAAGAATGCTCATATCACACCAGTTTACATACTTGTTCAACATTGTGGCCATTTCAATTGATTGTTGTAAATATTGCATATGTGTATAATAGTACAGCTATTTTACAAAATGTATGATGGTTGTCTAGATTTGTACGTTTTTAGTCTAAGTTTAAAGTCTAAGTCTTCCCTTGGTCTGAAAGCCTTTTGGTGTAAAGATGGCAGTGTCTGGTTTCATGTCTGCTTTCTTTACATCCTGATGTTTGGATGATGAGACTTCATCCAGATGAAAGACAGAAGAGAAGCCTGGATAGCTAGCAGGTTGAGTTGGGGTGGCTCTGAACACCAGAACGACTATAAACAAGTCTGTTGGGTGCACGCACGCACACACAGAGCTACTCATCCTTGACTGTGAAAGTGGGTTTCTGGGGGATGGAGGGGGGAATCTCCGATGGCTCACACTGTTCTGACAGTCTCATTATACTGGACTTAGAGTGAAGACCTTGGTGTGACAGAACCAAAGTCATCATAGTTGGCCTCCATCAGCTCCATCGCTGCACTGCCTGACCAGCACCGGCAACGGCCCACAGCTTCTTTCCTGTAAATCCAGAATCCCTCTGGGAGCAGAGCTGCATTAGAGCCAGCAACACATTTCAGTGCAATTTTAGAGCCACCTGTTTTTTTTTTTTTTTTTTTTTTTTTTTTCTCCAACACTCAGGCTCTTCCCCCTGAAAGCCAGAAGCTTCCTACATCACCTGGACATGTCAGGCTGTTTGTCGATGTCAATGCTGCCATAATGTGCAAAAAAGTTACACAGTTATCTAATATTCCTGCTGCGTTGTTAGAATCTCCCTGTGTGCTCCGGGGTGGACTGGTAATCTGTCCACTGCACACCAGGAAGTGCGACTTTAAAACAAGAATTTTCTTCAGCGTACAGCATTTGAAATTTTAAACAGGAGTCCAATTTTCAAAAGAATGAGACGTTAGCAAAATCAACCAAAATATAAAAACATCAGGTCATTAATGAGAGATTCAACTCACTGAAACTGAACGTTGACCTACTTTTGGTATTCTTGATGCAATTTGTTCTTTTCCAGTAGCAGGAGGAAAAAAAAATTGATTTCTCCAAATCTTGTGCGGGTCTTTTATGTGAACACCAGAGGGGAAAATGAACTGCAGCACACTACAATGTACTTTTGCATCCAAAGGCATCTGCTCATTTCAACAACAGTTTA